TAGATTTATATATATATCTATATATACTAGAACATAAATATTGCCCCGCACTCAATTAATTGCAGCTGTATGCACGACTCCTTGCAGAAAGGTGAATATATTAAATGTGAACATATCTCATATGTAAAACATACTAAGTATATGTTAGCATAAGTTCAAATCTCAATATTCAATTCATTTTCTTTGACTAGCTTTAAATTGAAACTCTGTCTCGATCCGATTCTTGTTGTCTAGTATGATCTTTGCTACTCTACAGAGCTTGCATACATACAGACATATGTATATTGTTTGTATCTATGTAAGTTGAAACGATCTTAGCTAATCAAAGTCAGTCACGGCTTGAACGAGCTGCTGGATTCCCCCGCCCCCTTCGGTGACGCCCCTCTCTCTCACTCGTTAATTTACTCGTTTATTTGTCAAGCTGCCGACTCTTGATTCTATATTTTGAGCTGCCGCTGCTTCTGCTGGTTGTTGTTGTCAAATGCAAATAGACATTAAATTGCCCGCTGTTTGCCGTTTCGTTTCGTTTCATTTACATTGCCCAGTCGCTGCTGCCAAACCATCCACCCGCCTCGCACCTCAGCTCGTGGAGCGCCTCCTAGCGGAATGTGGGGTAAACTGTCGCCGCAACGAGCAAACCCAGAAAAGGCAAGCACAGTTAGCACAGTGGGGCAAACCCTCTGCAAAAAAAAAAAAAAAAACACCAAGTGGAGAGCAGTGAAATGAGAAAAATGAGAAAAAGGCTTATGTAAACAACATACACAAAAATTTCGTGCAAAAGGCACGAAACGGCTGTTAACCTATTTGGCATAATTGCAACAGCGTCAGCCAACTGGCGATTCCGACTCTCCGTTGATTATCCGAAATGGAGTATGTGTACGTGTGTGTGTGTGTGTGCAGAGCTCAGCTTCGGCTGATGCGGGAGAATTGCTCTGACCGAGTCGCAGCTTTGTCTCTGGAAATTAGTACACCTGAAAAGTTTTCATTTGCACTAAAGGTAAAAATACATAAATGAGAAGGAAAATGTAGCTCTTATGCAGCAAGAATTTGTTTTTGCAGAGAATTCGTTTTGAAAGTCAGATATGAGCAGTGAAAAGGCATTCCTTACATTGCTAAAATTATTTTGCTACTTCTATCGGCTCTTCGGACCTGAATAGAGTTCTAATCTTTTATCTAGATAGTGGAATCTTTTATCTAGAATAGTTCGGAAACTTTGAAATGAAGGGAATAGTAAAGATTTTCTATTCATATTTTTAAATTTTCGTTTCAGAATGTTAAATATTTCTTTATGCAAATATATAGATTTTAGATGAAGAAATATTTTAATTTTTGGAAGTTCCTAAAAGGAAATCAAATCCATATACACATTTTTACTATCCTATATGAAACACTTTTATTTCTATACTGGGAATTGAATGGAAAAATATATTACGCAGTATCAACTATGCAGATTTCCCTTTATTGACAAGAAATATGCATGTTGTCTATATAGAATGTCTTACAGCTAGCACTTCTATTTCTATGAACAGTCAATTTTCAATGCATCTCTCTAAAATGAGTTATGATTAAGAATTCTCTTATTTTAATTTAATGCTAAACATAAAGTGCTCATCCCTGCCTACCTTTCAACGGAAATAGTTTCCTTTTCATCAGGTCATATTATGAACACAGCTATATGTAGAACATATATATTATTTATTTGAAATTTGTGTCGATCTGTCAGTCAAATCACGAGCTTTTAGCATGGGAATTCAATTGTAGCTTATATGATTTTCAATTATACATATATATTTATATATACGAAAACATGAGCACAGATAATATATTAGTCGCTATTATTAGACAATTAAGCAACGCAAGCAGCGGGGATTATCGGATTTGATTGCTTTTCAAGTTCAATGCGTCATCCGAGAGTATATTGGCAATGAATTGCATTTTTAATTGTGAAATTAATTCTGTTTTTTTTTTTTCATTGTCAACATAATCGAAATGACGTAACCAAAAGAAATGGCAAAAACGAGAATTATATATACAGTTATGTAAAGTCAGGTTTAGGTATGCGAAATAATGATCGCAATGCAGAATATGTGGTAAATAGTTTCTTCTGGTGTGCCAAAGGCGAGAGCTATGCCAAAAATTCTTCTGTCAGTCAATGGGTGGGGGCGTGTGCCCAGGTGTCAGCTGTGGGCTGACAGGTGCAAAGGTATCTGGGAGAGAGGCATCAAGTTGTACGTTACATTGCGCTGTTTCAGCTATTCTTTATATATTTCATTTCCCACAATTTAGTTGTTGTTTCATTTCGAGCTCTGCACTCAGACTCACACTCATATTCACCTGTCCACCTGTGCCTAATTGTGTGGCGTGCCTAATGCGCCCGCAGAGCGCCAAAGGGGCTAATGGGGCAGCAACGAACGAACACAGTGTGTCCGAGAATAGATACTTGGTGTATCTTTTACGGTTTCGTTTCTACACATGTATGTGGGCCTATCTATTAGTAAACATTGGTAGAAACCAATTACACTGTGCTACAAATGACTCTGATTTTATGTGGACTAGCTGCCAAAAGTGGACCAATAATGATTGACTGTGATTTTGTAAACAGTTTAGCTAAAGATAACCAGGCTTGAAGCACGGACCGAGGATATAGTATATTGATTGAAAATTTGTTATTTACTGTTAATTCTATTATAGAATTTTAAGCCCAGGTATTTCGACATTGACATTGTGAAATTCATTTGAAGCAAGAAATTTGATCTATTATACAATCGATTCAAAGCTAGAGGTTTGGTCTATTATACTTTATCAATTGTGATTTTAGATACCAAATTTGAATTGAATGAATTTACACTAGTCTTTTGAGCTCTATATAAGCGTAGTATTTAATTAGACAAGAAAATTCTAGTAGAGGTGCGTAAGTGCCCTGAGCCCTAAATTATCGATTCTCTTAGATACACAATATACGAGTGCAGATTGATGATATCAACTGAATTTATAGACAGATAGAAAAATAAGTCCTTAACGATCCTGATGACGAATGTGTATATACGGGGTCAATTTCGACTCCTTCAATAGGTTCCTTATTTTGACAGTCGTAGACTCTCACACACTGTAAGGATTAGAATGAATAGAACGGGCTGGCATTTGTTTACTTGCCACACATGCCACACTTGCCACACACGCCGCACTCTCCTCAATTAGTGGTTCTTGTTGATTTTGCCATTTGACTGCCATTTGGCTTTGCTGTCTTGCTTATGGATAATTTATAGACGCACCTTTTTATATAGAACTGTTGCTGCCTGAATGGGCACCTGCCCACGACAACAACAGCAGCACACACAGCAGCAACAGCAACACGAACTACAACAACAATAACATCATACAGACACAGACAAGTTTCGACAAGCGACCCAGCGACATAGTTTGTGCTGTGTTCTGTTCGCCCGCAACTTGCCACAGTAATTTGCATAGAACACACACTCACACGTATGCATATGCACACACACACACACACGCATACACAGACATAGCTGACTGCATGTCCATTGTCCGCCTGCCTGCCTGGCTGCATTGACGCCGAGCCAGTTTGGCCTAATTGTGCGCTTTTGATTTAGTTTCCATGACGTGCATGCGATGGTGGCAGAGCCCAACTCCAAAGCTCGCTCGCTCGCACGCTCGGTTGCCCGTTCGTCTGCTCCGCTCATTCCAATCGGGAATGCAATGCAGGTGGCTCTCTCACTCTCCCTCTCTTTATTTTAGCGCTCTCTTCGTCGTGCGCCTCGTGTGTCGGCTCTCTTGTTGGAATTCTGCTAGCCACAGCAGTTTGCTCTTTGCCTTTGCATATTTCTCGTACCTTGAATGTCTTTTATTAATTTAGTTGTAGTTGGTTCTTCTTGTTGTTTGTTTTTCTTTTGCTTTTCTTTCTTTTTTTCTGTTGCCGCATAGCATTGGCCAATATGCTTGGCTAGTTGTTTGGTTTTTTATTTATTTATAAATTATTACGTAGGGCAACCTTCACCCATTTACTTGAGATGCGCAGAAATGTTTGTAAAGTTTGTTTCGTCTACTATTTAGCGTGTGTTGTGTAAAACCTAATTTACATGTAAACTCATTTATTGATCATCAATATTAAATTCTAATTAGATTAGCTTATTAATAATTATAAGTTGTTGGCCAACAGCTGCAACAGCTGATGAATGATGCCCCCGATGATGCGCATCGTCAACTCGCAAACCCAATGGGCGGAGAGGAGGTGGGAGGTGACAAAGCATATAATATTTATAACAAGCAACATGTAAAACAAAAGACCTCTGAGCCGAGTCAACGAAATCTAAGCCCAAATTCCATGGCAGCCAATCCGCTTACTCCACTCCACTCCACTCGACTCCATTCGACTCCACTCGTTGCCTCTGAGCAAACCACAAAAAAAAAAGGAAAAAAAATCAGCATATATA